GAGGGCAGAATCTAGCAACTCCCTTTCATGAGATTTAGCCGATACTCCTACAATCACAACGGCCTTTAGAAAACTTGCTTTCTTTTAACCCCTTTTCTACTTTTAACCATCTTTCTTTCTACCTGGTGAAGGAGGAGAGGACTGTGTCATCATGGACAGTGCACAGGAGTCTAAGGTGTTCAAGAGATCCCTCAGGTGCAGGTAAGCAATTGTGAGACGTATGACTGACGCTTTGTCTCGCTGACCATCCATACTGGGGTCCAGAGGCAGAAGAGCGGTTAACTCCTTGAACAGCTGACTCTCCTTTCTCCTCCTGCTCTGTGCCGCCAAACGAGAATGTGCTTTTCTCCATTCTGTGCAGACCCTGTATTTAAAGTTAGAGAATTTGAATAACCAGAAAACATAAACATTTGAAATTAAGTTGTTTTGCTGTATCAGTTCTTTGCTATATCTTTCAGCATGCCAGACTCAGAATGCATAGTGCATCTACATGCAATACTGCTTTTGTCCAACAACATTTGCATTTAAATGTTTCATGGACTAGTCTTTACCATAAAGATGCAAACATTTTAAATGACATTGTTTTGGTTGTATGAGCATGCTGCTATTGGCCTGATTCTCCACTAGCGTCATTCAGAGAACGGAACATTCTAAAGCCACCATGTCCCCTGAAGACAAAGGGCAGCACCAGTGCTGATAGAAAAAGAGACGTCATGACCGCGTCACTTTGTCTTATCACTACCACGCGTAGTTGCCTGCAGCTTCTGATACAATGTCATGCCTTCTGAGAATACATCCCCACGTGCATTTACATGCTTTTTACATTCACTTTTTCAAATCTCCTTTTTTTTTTTGCCCGATAAGGTAAACAAATAAAGATAAAACAACTGCTAATTTTGGCATCATGAATCTATAAAATTATTTTATATTTTATCATTTTTGTATTTTATTTATATTAACAAGAATAACAAAAATTGCTTAAAACTGAAGGGACTTTTTGGTAAATATATTTAGGGAATATCTGGTGGCATGCAAATAATTGTCAACATTCCTCTGTATCATGACTTTTGCATGCCTTTTTGCAAATGCCCATTTTGTTGTTTGAGTAAAATGGCACTATGCAAAAGGCATGTTAACAGAAGTAATGTCATGCCTTCTGAGAATACATCCCCACGTGCATTTACATGCTTTTTACATTCACTTTTTCAAATCTCCTTTTTTTTTTGCCCGATAAGGTAAACAAATAAAGATAAAACAACTGCTAATTTTGGCATCATGAATCTATAAAATTATTTTATATTTTATCATTTTTGTATTTTATTTATATTAACAAGAATAACAAAAATTGCTTAAAACTGAAGGGACTTTTTGGTAAATATATTTAGGGAATATCTGGTGGCATGCAAATAATTGTCAACATTCCTCTGTATCATGACTTTTGCATGCCTTTTTGCAAATGCCCATTTTGTTGTTTGAGTAAAATGGCACTATGCAAAAGGCATGTTAACAGAAGGATTTCAATTTATTTGATAAAAATGCTCGTTTCCCCTTTTAACCATTTTGACTACCGATTTAAAACGGACAAATTAGTTAAAAATGAAATGAAATTTGTTTTTTAATATGTGCATCTGGTCCCAGCTTCTCAGGTTAGTTCTGAAGAATGTACTGGCACCATTCGCAAAAAAAACTAACATTCATTGTAAATTCAGCTTCAGTGGAATAATCAATATATGATATTTCAAACAATGTCTTATTCATTCAGTTATTTGCTATATCTTTCCACACAGCAGGCTCAAAATATATAGAGTGTCTACATGCAATATATGTTTTGTACAAAAACTATTTTAATTTCTCATGGACTAGGTTTAGTTTTTGGTAAATTAAATAAAGTTATGGTCTATCCGGTGGTATGCAAATAACTGTCAATTTCTTTATAACTTTTGCATAGTGCCTTTTTGCAAATAGCAGATTTGCTGTTTGGGCATTACACACATGTGCAAACATACTAAAAGGCATGATAGCAAGGATTTTGCATGCCACCAGAAAGTTCCCAATTTAAGCATTTATGTTTTTTTCTTCTGATTAAGATGAGTTCAAATGTATTTAAATAATTTAGTATGTTTGTTTTGTCCCAAATCCTCAGAATAGTTCTAATGAATTCAGTGCCACTGTTTATATATCATTGTAAATGCAGCTTCAATGGAATCAGCAATGAATGATATTTCAAACAATGGCAGACTGAATGCACAGGGTATTTGTTTTGTATTTCCATGTGACTATCATTAACTAGGTTTAGTTTTTGTACTCACCTCCTTTTCTTCTGCTCAATGAATATGTGCTTTCTTCTAGCTTTTCCATGGCACTCGTCACTCAGCTGATCCCTAACTGTTTCCAAATGCTTTGAAGTCATTTTAAAATGTAAGATGACTCAAAGTGATCATGTGCTCATGTCAGGCATGTTACCAGGTGGCGTATGGTCATGTTCAAAAAATGAGCTATTGACATACTCACAGATAACTGGCTGTAATCTCTGGGCATGCTCATGTTTATAACCACTTTCTCTGTAGAGGCCTTTAGACCCTCCCCTCATGTTCCATGTGACAGTTGGCCATTAATCACCGATAGGTTTGCATCTGTCAAAACAAGATGGTCTTTTACTTTTCTGAGAACTCAGATCTTGTTGATAATCATTTGGTTTTGAATGATAACTGCCACTCATGATTCCAGGAAAACTATGACCAGTTTAAAAAAAGAGTGTACATTCTACATTAATTTATAGCAATGAAAAAAAAACATATTTTCTTATTTCCTGTGAACTGAGTTAACTAAGATAAAGACATAATTGCCACTATCATACAAATACAGATAGTGTCAAGAGGTTGTGGCACTGGCTACAGACCAAAACACATTACATAATCCAGTAATTCAAACAAAGCACAAAAATAAATGCAGAGATCATAGTAAATATTTAAAAATTAAAATGAGAAGAAAACACTTGAAATAATCTCTTAACATTCCTGAAAACATATCTAACTTCCATCAATACAACAAATATGTCACATTTTGCAAGTAGTGCCATTTAAAAACTAGTGAACAGGTGAAGCAAAGAGTAAGTAGTTTTAACACCCAAATCAAATGACAAAACTAACAAATCTGTTGCCTTAATATGTTTGAAACATTACCTTAAAGTTACCCATTCCCCACATGGATCGCTGAAAAGCATGTTTGAGTCTGGGCTTGTAATAGTAGTCCATTGTTCAATGCTCAAACATGTAAGGATACATTTCATAGGTGGTATCACTGCAGAGGAGATCTTCATTTTCATGTCGGTCCCACTTCACTTTATCTCTGAAATGCAGATACATGCATCCATTTTTCAAAGCATTTGGGTGGCATAGAGCCATGCTGGAATCACAAGCATCTGTAAAGAAATTCAAATCAAATGTAAAAAACTACAGTGAATAATTTCCTTGCTCTGTTCTCTTTCTCCTCTAGTAAGGAGAATGAACATACAGGCAACAGTCGATGTGCCGTCCCAGTGACCTGTTGGATCTATGTGATTTATTGACATTTGCTTTCTGTGATTGGCTTGCTCTAAACCACATCTTTGTTGGCTGGGATAACGCACGCTGGTCGGACTACTTATTAAATATATATGCATGTAAAGTCTGCTAACAATTTATTTTTGTTTTTTTGCACAACACCACCATCTAAATATTTTTATATTCTGCTTATATTCGTGTTAAAAGACACATTATCTCAATAAACAGAAAATTATAGTACAATCTTTCAATTATTATATATAATATATTACATTTGATTAAAAGTTGTGCATTTGGCATTACGTCTCTATTAGATCAGCCAACCAAGAAAAGAGAAAAGCTGAGGCCAGTGTAATGTGTAATAAAGCCAGTGACGGTTCATCAGCAGGTGCTTGACCCGTTCAGACCTCCAAAAATGAGGTTGCTATCTTCTCATCTGGCGCCACTGGGATCATCTTGATGCCCGGACTCCACATTGATTACCATTCCCACCCTTTAGAAGTGTGCCACCGGAATAAACACTGTGCTGATTCTAATGTTTGGGAGTTATGCTCAGTTGTTATGATAAAATACTATAAAAATAGTGAACAGAAATTGAATTCTAAAAATTGTATTTCTTGAAGTAGCCTATTTCACACTTGGGTAAAAATGACTACTTGTGTATCATTAATTAAGTTTATTTACCTACCTCATTGTAGTAAAGTAGTTTTCAAGGTTTAAAAGATAAATTGACCGACTGATTTATTTGCAGTTGGTTTAACCATTATTCTCGTTTATTTAAACTCTGTTTGGGCTGGACTTTTTCACCTTCATTATTTCACACCTAAAATGAACGCATGGCGACCTATTCCCATCTGCGACTGTCGAGAAAGCAAACCAGAGCAGCACAACAAATACATGCTCCTGGGTGGTCGAGATGCTGTTCAGACCATGCAAATAGACAATTTCCTGTGTTGACAGAAAGTTTATTTTAGAGTGCTGGGAAATGAATTCCACTTAAGTACTTAAGTGAACAATAAACGTTCATTTCAACAACATTAGCTAAAAGTCCATTAATGGCAGAAATCATCTATATCGACGCTTGCTTCCTTTATATTAAACATATATTTGCATGTTAACATTTTTACACACACAAACAAAAAAATCGCCTCCTAAATTTGCTTTTGACAAAACTACTATTTCATTTGCAATCCTACGACGCGAAACCTTTTCACCTGCTGTTCCTATTGGTTATCACGCCAGTCAGTTAGCTTTTCCGTCGTCTGATTGGCTGAGGGGCGGGTCATTCAATTGAATGAGTAGCGGAAGTAGATTCGGAAGCTTGTGCTCGTTTTGACAGGACTGAACGCTCAATTCAGGTAGAAGTTGTATAACATGTTGTTAATAATCTCTTGGATATCGCTTAAAGAGAAACCGTACGTTCGCTATTATATATGCTAAGATAACTGGATAGTGAATTATCGCACATATGTTTGTATGGTACAGATTTACGGGATCTCATTGTCTGATTTCCAGCACTATCAAGTGTGCTAACAGTATTAGCTGATCACTGAAGTCCCAGAAGTGAAAGAGAAACTCTCTTTGTCAGTGCTGATTCACCTTTCAGCCTTATAGCCAAACGTTTGACTGTGTATGTTAACGTTTTTACATATCTAAAAGTATCTACTCAATTACTGGCATGTGTTAGCTGTGTGTGTAGAGTTCAGATGTGAATCACCAATAATAACCAGGTTATTTTGTGCTTTTGCATAGTAAGATATTTAATCATTTTTTTTGTGAATTTTCAGTGGAGAGGGATCAAGCTGCCTAAAGACTGAAATGGTGGACTCTCAGTATTACCTCCCAAATGACATCGGGATCTCTGCTCTGGACTGCCGGGAGGCTTTCAGGCTGCTGTCTCCCAAAGAGCAAATGTATGCACACTACCTCTCTCGGGCATCCTGGTACGGTGGCCTGATCGTGCTGATTCAGACGTCTCCTGAGTCTGCCAACATCTACGTACTGCTGCAAAAAATGTTCCGCGCTCAGGCGCCACAGCAGCTGGAGACAGCAGCGACTGCAGCTGGACTGAGCGCAGAGGAGTATCAGGTGAAGGAACCTGTTACAAACACCAAAGTTAACATCAGTTCTGTGTTCGTTGTCGTAACAATGTTATGTCTGTTTCCAGGCCTTCCTCGTATATGCTGCTGGGCTTTATGCAAACATGGGGAACTACAAGTCATTTGGGGACACCAAATTCATCCCCAACCTACCAAAGGTCAAATATGTCCCATGTGTGCTCTATCAGAATTTAATGTAATATCCCAAAGGTTTTAGTGTTTGATAATTCTTGCCTATTTTAATATACAGGAGAAGTTCAAGGCTCTGGTGTGGGAGAGTCTGGCCTTTAAACAGAGCCCTGGTGACATGGAGGCGCTGTGGGGCTGCTGCTGTGAGTCCCTCTACTCCCTGGAAGACAAGCTGAAACAGCTCGGTCTGGGTGAGAAGGTAAAATAAATAAAAAAAATTCATACAAACTGACTTTTGGACAGCTCAGTCTCGGGTTGGTGTTTTACCTAATAATGCCTTTCTCCTAGGGGATCTCTGCGTACTTCTCAGGGAACTGCTGCTTAGAAGACGCAGAGTTTGCCCAGAAATTTCTGGACTCCAAGGTATAGTGCACATGTGAGAGATCCGGCTAGTTCGCTGGAGTTATATGAAAACTGTGTGGAATTAATGTCACAAATAGAATATTATTTCTCTCTCTGTTTCGGCTACTCCCCTTAGGGGTTGCCACAGTGGAATCCACACATATAGAATGTTATCATTTATTTTTTGATATTAACTAGGGGTGTAACTATATATCATGTCACAATATATATTGCAATACAAAAATGCAACATTATGTATAATTCACCCAAAATGAAAATGATTTAATTTAGCATCAAATATGGTAAACCCAGGAGTAGGCCTGTCACAGTAACAACTTTTTGTTGTGCGATATATTGCCCAAGAAATAATTGCCATAAGCGATATTATTGTCATTTTAAAGACCATTTTATGCCACTGAATATATAATCATAATGTAACAGAATAATAATGCAAGAAGGCCTACACACTTCCAAATGACAACAAACTTTTAATTTTTAAGAATATTTAGGTTAGATCATGGAAATTAAGTATCAAAATATTAGATACCTTAAACTTATTTTAAAAACTATATATAAAAAAATAAATAGTAAATAAACATTTTCTAACAAAAAGTGCAAAGTAACAAGTAGAAAAAAAGAAAAATGCACAAAGAATTGTATGGAGATTTTCCATCTACAGATTTTTCCCTGACCTTTTCTCTGTAAATGAAGGGTGCACACTATTGCTAAAAAAACACAATCTCTACTTAGCAGTCAGATGTCCGTATGCACAAAGGCACAGATCCCTAAACAAGGCCATATCGTCAGATGAAACTTTTTTTTTATTTGAACTAGCACCTCATGACTGCACCACGTTATGTACGAGAAGCTGCAAAAGACAAAGGCACAAGTGGAATGTACAAAACATGGTGACATTAATTTTTAAGTAAATATAATGGGCGATATATTGTGTCACCAAAAATGATTGTGGTCATGTACATATATTGCGCGATAAGTCGATATATTGATTATTGCGACAGGCCTACCCAGGAGGTAACACATTTGATCTTCCATATTAATTAATTATTATTAATAAAATGAATTATTTAATAATATGTCTTACATAATACTGTATTTTTAGCTAAACAGAATGATGAATATTACTGTTCTGGTGTCACCATTGCCCAGTGTATGGAGGAGAACCCCTGATTTGAGCATTTTAATGAATAGTATTTTACCCTTTTACCATATGTGTTAGAAGTCATAGTTAAAATAACTCTATTTTGGCTTTGTTTCAAGTATTGAGAGTATTGTGTTGTGAGATCAGTACTGTGTATTGAATGAATTGTGACATGAGCGTTGTTACACCCCTATTATTAACACATAAAATAAATGTTACATGAAGCATTAACATAAAAATATGTTAAATAGTTATAAAGATATCTAAAAAAAATTTTTTTCTTAAAATCCTGCTTTTGCTATCATTGAAAGAATTTGATATGGCTTTTTGTTGTTGTTTTTTTAACTTTGTTTTAACCTGTGTTTTTATCACAGGGAATGAACATATTGGAAACATGTAAAATGTTAAATACCCTTTAAATAAAAGCATCTACCAAGTGCAAAAAAATAAATATGGAAAACAAATTGTTACATTATACGCATTTATTAATACATTATTTGATTAATAAATACTGTAAAAGTATTGCAACATTATTGTCCATGTTAGCTAATGCATTAACTGATTTTAACCAGTTGAACCATATTGTAACTTATTAATTAATTTACATTTACATTTGTGCATTTTGGTAGACACTTTTATCCAAAGTAACTTACATTGCATTCAAGGTACACATTTGATCAGTTCTGGAAATTGAACCCATTATCTTGTTGTATCCTTACTGACAGCAGCTATTTCTAGTATACTAGTTTACCAATAATAATCGTCCTTGTAGAACCTGAGTGCCTACAACACCCGTCTGTTCAAGACTGAAATAGATGGGAAACAGTGCTATGAAGTGCGTTTGGCATCTGCCGAGAAGGGTGAGTATACTGAGCAGTTTAAATCCAGTTTGATATAAATAACTTATCATTTCATTCTATTATTCTTCATTTCATTTTTTACTTCTCTTGACTATTTTTTCTCATTGCCTTTATTTCCTTCCCATCTGCAGACAACTGTGCTGTTGAGGGAAAGAATGAAGTTTGTTGTGGCAAACATGAATTTGAGGATGCTGTGTTCTCTGTTAAGAGGGGCGATTATGCCTTTCTTATGGAAAAAGTGTGTCAGAACTTGGAAAAAGCCAAGGTATGACAACATTCAACCTAAAAAAAGAAACACTAATTCATTGGTACTTTTGGATGTAAAAAGAATAGGATGACCTTTTAAAGAATTAGTAAAGTTTTTTGTTGTTTGTTTTAGGATTGTGCAGCCAATGACAACCAGAAGAGGATGCTGGAGGAGTACATCCGCAGTTTCACCTGTGGCTCAGTGGAAGCCCATAAAGAAGGGTCCCGTTATTGGATCAAAGACAAAGGACCTATTGTGGAGAGGTGACTGACCTATATTTAACAGACCAGGCTGTTGACATAAGCCTTAAATCTTTGGTTTCATTGTTGAGCTATGCTTATATATTCTATGCTTTTTCTGTTTAAAACATTTTTTTTTTTCATTTTTCAAGTTACATTGGTTTTATTGAGAGCTACAGAGATCCCTTTGGCTCAAGGGGTGAATTTGAAGGTAAGCCCAAATATGACAAAATGACGCCCATTGTTTTGCCCAGATTTATTTAAAAATGCATTATGCCATACATACATGCAGGAGAATGGCTTCTATAACACCTCATCTATAATTAATATATTTTTATTTTCTAATGAAAAATTACATGTTTTTGGCAGACATAAAATCAAAATAATATAATTAAAAAAAAAGCCTCATTTAAAAAAATGAATTTCTTTAAAGACGATCTTAATTAGTTTGACATGACCTTATCTTAATCAGTTATTATTATTATTATTATTATTATTATTATTGGATCATGTGGAAAACCCCAACATGCAAAAAAACCCTACTGGTTAAAAGTTTGAGATCAGTAAAACTGTTTTGTTTTTTTTAATTAATAATTTCATTCATCAAAAACAATGTGTATAATGTTAAAAAAATCTTTTAAAAAGTATCACAGATTCCACATAAATGTTAAGCAGCACAACTATTTTCAACTTCCATAATAATAAGAAACGGTGAATGTCACCCACCTTTAGAATGATTTCTGAAGGATCGGGTGACAGTGAAGACTGGAGTTTCTGGAAATTGAGTGTTGCCATCACAGGAATAAATGACATTTTAAAATATATTAAAATAGAAAACATGTATTTTTTTTAACAAACAAATGCAGCTTTGGTGAACATAAGACTTGACTACTGACTCAAAACTCAAATCTGACCCCAAACTTTTCAGCTGTAGTGTAAAACGGTAAATGACACACAAATTGCTTAAAACAACCCAGTAACTCTTGTAGATACCCAATTACGACCACAGTGTCTTTCTCTCCTCCACACTTGCCATCTTGTCTATCAGGTTTTGTTGCTGTGGTGAACAAGGCCATGAGCGCTCGCTTTGCTCAGTTGGTGAGCTCGGCTGAAGACTTACTACCAGAGCTGCCTTGGCCTCCAGCCTTTGAGAAGGACCGCTTCCTCAAGCCAGACTTCACCTCTCTGGATGTACTCACCTTTGCTGGCAGCGGCATCCCTGCAGGAATCAACATTCCAAACTGTAAGCCCTCTCATCCAACATTTTTTTTTCATATGCAGTCAGGTTTGATTTTTTTTAACCATTTATCTGTCTGTAGATGACGACATCAGACAGACAGAAGGTTTCAAGAACGTGTCCCTTGGGAATGTGCTGGCAGTTGCTTATGCCACACAGAAAGACAAGCTCACTTTCCTTGAGGAGAATGACAAAGTAAGACTGATGACTGCTGTCTGTGAACTTCTAATGAATCAAACATGTTGTAATGGAGGCTCTGAGTGGTAATAACTCTTCCTCTGTGGCTTATTCCTGTAGGACCTGTACATCAAATGGAAGGGTCCTTCGTTTGAGGTGCAGGTGGGGCTCCATGAGCTGCTGGGTCACGGCAGCGGGAAGCTCTTTGTTCAGGTTGTGAAGCACAATCAGTTTGCTGTATTGCTGTATATATGTGACTTGTGGGCTTTATGTGCTAAAAAGGGAAGTTTGGGAGATTTTTCTTGGAAGAAATGTAATTTTGTGTTCACCAAAGATGCATTATATTGATCAATACTGACAGTAAAAACATTTATAGTGTCTTTAGGGTTTTTAAATAGTCAACCTTTAAGGTTTCAAAAAGCTTTCTATAGGCCAGATTTACTAAACGGGGCTAATTAGCGTAATGTGTGGGGGGGGTGGGATTCTGTAATTCTACATTAAAGAACACAGACGCAACCAGATCATTTCCATAATGACCAGTGCAATCTACTAAGAGCAGCGCAAAAATAACTGTCCACGCCTTTTCAGCGCTAATTCTTCACTGCATGTCTTTATTAAATCCTGACAGTACTATTTTAACGCTAAAAGACAGTTTGCAATGGCGCAAGCTGTTAGTAAATCTGGCCCTAAGTTGTCTAAATTGTCTTTTTAGTAGAGTGTCTGCTATTTGAACTTGTGGCTCAAACTATCAATAGAGCAAAGTTGTATTAAGCTCAGAACATTTCATAAATAGAAATGTATCTAAGAGCAGCGCAAAAATAACTGTCCCCGCCTTTTCAGCGCTAATTCTTCACTGCATGTCTTTATTAAATCCTGACAGTACTATTTTAACGCTAAAAGACAGTTTGCAATGGCGCAAGCTGTTAGTAAATCTGGCCCTAAGTTGTCTAAATTGTCTTTTTAGTAGAGTGTCTGCTATTTGAACTTGTGGCTCAAACTATCAATAGAGCAAAGTTGTATTAAGCTCAGAACATTTCATAAATAGAAATGTATCACTGTTTCTTTTTATGTGTTTGTATTGAAACAGGATGATAAGGGAAAATTCAACTTCGATCAAACTGCTGTTCGTAATCCAGAAACAGGAGAACTGGTGAGTTTTTTTTGTTTTTTTCCCCCCACTGTGCTTTATGCTGCTTATAAACTGTACATCGTGAATCACAGTCACAAAATGGTCATTTTGGATTTCAGATCTCAAGCTGGTACAAGGGTAGCGAGACATGGGACAGCAAGTTCTCCACCATTGCCTCGTCCTATGAGGAGTGTCGAGCCGAGTGTGTGGGTCTCTACCTGTGTCTCAACAAGGAGGTGCTCAGGTGAGTCACTGAACGTTTAGTCACTTCTGCATGAATTCACTCAGCTGGAATTGTTGAGATATGGATGCTGAGCAATTTGTGCATGCGGCAGTATTTTCGGGAATGAAGGGGAGGATGCAGAGGAGGTTGTGTATGTGAACTGGCTGAACATGGTGCGTGCCGGCCTGCTGGGGCTGGAATTCTACACGCCAGAGAGCAAGAGCTGGAGACAGGTGAGATGTGGGAATGCGCAGAAATCATTGCTCTTTCTCTTGATTGTTTTCCAATCTTAACGCTATCCTGGCTATCTCGCTGTCGTAGGCACACATGCAGGCCCGGTTTGTGATTTTGCGGGTTCTGCTGGAGGCTGGAGAGGGGCTGGTTGGTCTGAAGGAGTGTACGGGGGCAGATGGACGGCCAGACGCTGTCATAACACTCGACCGCAGCAAGACATACACAGTGGGAAAGAGCGCTATCCAGAGCTTCCTCTGTAAACTGCAGGTACAGACTGTTACTGGGCTCAAATGGAACTCTAGCTTTCTGCTAACTGTATACTGCACCATATACACTAGTCTCCTGTTATTGAAATAATATTAGAATAATTATACAATAATGTGACTATATCAGTGTTATTGTAGTATAGTTAATATTTTGATTTAGTTTTTATTTTTATATTTTCCATTTACATTTTAGTAATGGTTGGTCATTTATATTAGTTTTTTTAATGTTTATGTAGTTTTTTATTATTATTTTACATTTAGATTTTTTGATTGTATTCAAGTGAAACTAAATGAAAATGAGAAAACGTTACCTTGGCAAATAGCTGAAATAAAATGTTTATTTTATTTGTTCTATTTCAGTTTGTCTTATTTCAAGTAATACATGTTTTCAAAGTGTGACTGTATCACAATGCTACTTTATTTCTCATAATAGTCTCATAATTGTGAAATATTATATATATATTATAAATATGACGATTTTAAGAGATTTAAGTTTATCTCGTAGTTAACTTTTTTTTTTTTTTTTTACTCAATTGAGCAGAATTTTGGAACAGAATTGAGCTTTAATAGTTGTAGTATTATTGTATTGTATTAATACTAATACAAATAGCCATGGTTATGTTTAGTAATACCAATTGTGACCCTGGACCACAAAACCAGTCATAAGGGTCAATCTTTTGAAACTGAGATTTATACATAAATGAATAAATAAGCTTTCCATTGATGTATGGTTTATTAGGATAGGACAAAATTTGGCCGAGATGCAACTATGTGAAAACCTGGAATCTTAGGGTGCAAAAAATCTAAATATTGAGAAAATCACCTTTAAAGTTGTCCAAATTAATCCTTAGCAATGCATATTACTATTCAAAAATTAGGTTTTGATATATTTACAGTTGGAAATTTACAAAATATCTTCATGGAACATGATCTTTACTTAATATCCTAATGATTTTTGGCATAAAAGAAAAATCTATAATTTTGAACCATACAAAGTATTGTTGGCTATTGCTACAAATATACCCCAGTGACTTAAGACTGGTTTTGTGGTCCACGGTCACAATTGAGTTTGTATTCTGATTATCTTTATTCTAAAGGTGCACAAGTCCACAGCTGATGTGGAGGGAGGAAGGGCTTTGTATGAAGGCTACTCTGCTGTGACCGCTGACGGCACCCACAATTTCCTGCGCCTCAGAGAGACGGTTCTGCTCCGTAAGGAAGCTCGCAAGATGTTTGTCCAAGCTAACACCAAAATCAAAGGTTCGTGTTTAGCCTCCCTCCTTAGTCATGTACCGAAAACTTACCATTTGCGTAGGATCAGAGACATAGTAACACAGCGACACATATACATAAGTTCATAAAGTGCTGCTGTTTGTGTTGTAGATGACGCTGTGGAGCTGGTTGAGTATGAAGGCAGCGCTGCAGGACTCATCCAATCCTTCGTCGAACGCTTCCCAGACGATGCCGAGAAGGTAGAGGCCCAGCTGCTGGAAATGACCTGCATGGACTCGTCCTGCTGGTGCTGAGACGGCACAGTGCTGTGGGAAACATCCTCTCAGACAAGTGTTAGTCCACACTGAGCCACAGCAACTTTCAGAAATGAACAAAAGGCTGCAGAGTGCACAAGGAAGGGACTGGTAATGATTATAAAACCTTTCACACGTACGAGGAAGGAAGAACCACACACACACACACACAAGTAATACCTAGAATTTTACCTTTCCCACTGATCTTCTTTCTATTTTATCTATTCACTTCTAAACAAAGGCAACTCTGATTAGTTTTAATTAGAAATTTCTATTCCCTACTCTGAATCAGACCGCAGCCCACACTTCCCACACAGGCATGTGGAAGTGCTGACAAGAGTGAACTTGCTGTGTGAGGGTGGGACTTATGTAATCGCAACACATAACACACTTTCTCAAATTACTTTCAAATGGAAACACACTCTGTGCCACTTTTGGATCATATCTAGTCTAGAGTTCATCTGCTGTTTCAGTGTTATATAGAAGAAATCTTAGCATTCGTTCTCGAGAATATAAATTCTTCACTGGTTTAAAGGAATTTTGGTTTCTCAAAATATGTTGTCAGTGTTCAGTCTGGATGGCGAAAACCAACAGCCCCTACCAAATATCCCACTGATCTTCTTTCTATTTTATCTATTCACTTCTAAACAAAGGCAACTCTGATTAGTTTTAATTAGAAATTTCTGTTCCCTACTCTGAATCAGACCGCAGCCCACACTTCCCACACAGGCATGTGGAAGTGCTGACAAGAGTGAACTTGCTGTGTGAGGGTGGGACTTATGTAATCGCAACACATAACACACTTTCTCAAATTACTTTCAAATGGAAACACACTCTGTGCCACTTTTGGATCATATCTAGTCTAGAGTTCATCTGCTGTTTCAGTGTTATATAGAAGAAATCTTAGCATTCGTTCTCGAGAATATAAATTCTTCACTGGTTTAAAGGAATTTTGGTTTCTCAAAATATGTTGTCAGTGTTCAGTCTGGATGGCGAAAACCAACAGCCCCTACCAAATAAAACCAATTATTTCTGAAGGTGTTTTATTGTCTTTTACTTTCAAAATACCAAAACATTTGTGCAATGACTTTCATATAAATATTATCATAATACAAGATGAACAATAAGACAAAATCCACTCAATAGCTCAATACTGACCATATCATAAATGAGATATTTCCATAATTGGTAAATTACATTTTACATTAGAAAAGACTCAAATGAAAAAAACAAACATCTGAGAACAGAGTTGGAGTAATGAATCCAGTCATTAATAACCAACCTATAAGAATATTAAACGCAATATAACACAAGCAAATGCTTAATAATTTAGCCCAATGAAATATCACACAACACCAGCTAAACACAATCAATAATTACCAGCAATCGACACTAAACAGGCTGATTTAGCATCTTACAAAATCTACAAACTTAAAAATAAAGGTTCTAAAAGGGGGGCTTGCAGCAATGCCATAGAAGAATCCTTGGTTCCCCAAAGAAAAAAAACTAGTTTTTTCTTAATGTGTGAAGAACATTTTCATAAACTAAAGATCATTTTTACTATGAAGAACGTATTGTGTAATGGAAAGGTTCCATGGATGCCAAAAGGTGTAATCTAGTCTTACAGTCAACATTAAATAGATTCAGTGGAAAACACCTCAAATGGTTACTGAGCTCCATTACGAGGATATTATTATTATTTCATCAGCCTTTCTTTGACAAATCAGGCATGCTGCATAAAATGCAGAATTGCTTTGACCTACAGATGTGTGACATCTGAAAAAGTCCCATATTATGAAGCCGCCTCTGTTAGATCCACTGCGCTCCCTCTGTTCAGCTTCTGGGACCTTTCATCCTGACTGGATGCCTGATAAATAAAAGGAACCCCACTCATGCCCATGCTCTGCAGGTCTTGAATCTGGGCATTAGGCGGGAGAGGCGTTAACACCCTGTCTCTCCTCCAGTACAGGCTGTAATCCTCCGGCTGGTCCACTCCAAACTTCACAGCACAGAGCTGAGCCATAGCCTCACCGTTGAGCGCAGTCTTCCACATGAGAGTTTTTACCAAGCTACTGTCGCCATCTTGAAACAGCACCTTTATAAACCTCTGTAGCACAGAAACAAAACTTGTTTTTTTTGGACTATACTTGCACAGTTCAGATAGAGTAGATGTGCTTTGTTCGACCAGTGTATCTGACCTGGTGCAATTTGTTGTCTTTCTGACTTGTGGTTTCGTTGCTCCGACGCCGGCTCCATTCTTTCAGAGAGACTCTGGCCTGGTTTGTAAGGCCGTTGAGTGGCACATCCTCCGGCTGACTCTGAATCAGACTCAGACTGGCATAGACACTTGTCAGATAGTAACCCCCTTCAAGAGAATTAATAATAAATAATTATCACAGGCTTTACAGAATGAAAACTTGAGTTTGGGTAAGAGGATAACACTCACACTCAAAGTTTACCAAATGTAAAAAAATATAAAAGTTAGGTATATATATATATATATACATATATTCATGTATTGATTAGCTGTGTAACTCAAAATTCATAACTAAATCTAAGCGCAGTGTACGTGGAGCTGTTTGTGTCCGCACCTTCTCCTGTAAGCCAAGAGCTTTCCAAAAGCTCCATCATATACTCCACCTCCAGAGAGATCTCTGGCATATTGCACAGCACCATCACATATGAGAGAGCAGGGAGGAAGTCATCTGCACCAAATTCCTGCCCTGTTTTTAAGAATATAGATTAACGTTAGATGATGGCTAAGGTAATCTAATTGTAAAAATGTGAGAAATGAGCATGTACAATTCAATATGCAATATCGACCAATATGTCAATTATCAATATGGTACCAGTATATTGTGCATCCCTATTGGTTACACCTACACGTATATACTACCATTTAGAAGTTAAGGATGAGTAAGATTTTTTGTAATTAATACTTTTATTCAGCAAGGATGCATTAAATTGATCAAAAGTGACATTAAAAACATGTATGATGTTACAAAGATTTTGATTTCTAATAAATGCTTTTGAACTTTTTTTTTTTATTAAAAAATTGTGAAAAATGCATCCCTGATTCCACAAAAATATTAAGCAACACAACTCTTTTCAACATCGATAATAAGAAATGCTTCTTTAGCAGCAAATCAGCATATTAGAATGATTTCTGAAGGATCATGTGACACTGAAGACTGGATTAATGACTGCTGAAAATTCAGCTTTGACTTCACAGGAATGAATTACATTTTAAAATATATTCAAACAGAATTTTAAATGGTAATAATATTACACAAAATGTTACTGTATTTTTGACAATTCTTACGTTTTTAAAAAATCTTACTGACCCCAGACTTATGAATAGAAGTGTATGTGCGAGAATACATCAACACATGTCAAATTAACCAATGTTATTCCAGAACTCCTTACCTGATTTGTTTTTCATGGTTTTGTAAATGAGTTTGCAGATCTGCAAGAGCAGCAGCACTTTGTCAATGGGCGAGTACGCCCGCTGCATTAGAGTCAGCTTATGCTTAATTTTCTCAATGCCCTGGGCGTCAGGAACGCCCACCTGAACCCCAAAGAGCTTCTGTGGTGAGGCTCCTTTGGCCCTTTGCAAGCTGTCCATCATTCTTTGGAAGGAACCATCTTGTTTGTGCAGGGTCCGAAGAGCCGCATCAATCTGAGGCTTCAGAGGTTTCAGCACACAGCGGAACATGGCCTTCTCCAGTGCTTGGTCTGCACACAGGAAGACATAGAGGTATTTCAACATTTAACTTGGTGAAATGATACAGACAACATTATTAAACAAAATCACACAGACTTAAATACCTTTTTCATTCTCAGTCAAAAGAGTTTCTATTGGAGGTTCCAGCTCGTCACATTCCAGGAGGAAATCTTTGGCCTGATTGATGAAGAGACGCAAATCCTGCAGCAGCTGTACAGCAGAGGTCAAGCAATGGGGCTTCAGCGCGTCTCTCTGCTGCCTCAGGAAGTCCTGTACCAGAGCGCCAAATGCCATGCGACGGTCACGAGACAGGTCCTCCACCATCCGCGCCACTCGCTTCTCTGGGGCGAAAAAGGATATGAAGGCGGCGCTCATTTTGCGCAGAGCAGACATGGACTTCCTGGGAGGTTGCATGACAGGGTTGCTAGTGCCTCCTACAAGGGGAGGACATTCGGGACTCTCCGTCTCGTCCAGGCTGCTGAGGGAACTGCTGCTGTCCAGCTCACTGAGAGACGGAGCATGTCGCTGTTCCAGCACAAGTCCTTCATCCTCTTCCTCCTCATCTTCTTCCTGTCCTTTCTGCTCCAGGATTTTTGGCTGGGCCTGAAAAACGCAAAGAGGCAGTTATTAAAAACTCAGAAATTAAACTAAAATGTCCCATAAAATCAGTTCTGTACCTTCTGAGCTTTAGGCATCTGATAGTCATCTTCTTCAGCGGTGGGAGAAAGAGTAGAGGTGACCTTGGCTTTCTTCTGTGATGATTCACAAGGTTGCATGTAGTCCGTGGCTTCCTCCACAGTCTTTTTGATAGCTTCCTCACTGGCCTGAACTGCAACAGGTGGGGTCATCTGCTTTGCAGCTTTCAATCTGGCTTTGCATTTGGCTTTAGCCAGTAACGGCGGTGGAGGTGGTGGGAGGACAGGGGGCGACAAGGGGCTGGAATTTTCAGTGGAGACACGAACCTTGACGCTGGTTTTGAAATGATGACGCCTGCGCATGGCGTTGCGACCTGGGTAGTCTTGTAGGAAAAGAGGGTTGACAAAACATAAACCTTTGCCTCCCCTGTAATCTAGCTCGCAGGGACTCCGTGTCTGGATTGGACAAAGCTCCTGGAACGGGGTGGGGTTTGGATTGATGGGCGTTGATGGGCAGTTTTGTGGGCTTGAACTTGGAGGCAAGAGTTTGTCAGTGGCAGGAGGTTCATTGCGAGGACCCCGGACATTTAAGTGGGAACTCCAGAACTCTGTTGAATACAGAAGAGCATCGAGATCAGGGGAAACATATTTTATGATACATATTAGCTGACATTTACGAATTCTAAAATAACAGTATAACCGGAGTATATCTGTTATTGGCTGATTTTAGAATTTTTTGGTAATTATTATATAAATTATTGGAATTATATTGGCCAATACTGGGTACTACACTTCCTCTATTTTACTTTAGGTTAATCTTCAATATTTAAAGTAAATATTAAGTGTAAAACACACACCACTTGCATTGTTCTTAAAGATGACACAACAGAAGCGTCATTTATACCAAACTTTACGGAAAGTGAAGAGGTACTGCAATTAGTATTAAATTCAAGAAGTGTGTAATAAAGGCGTTTTATCATTACGAGAATCTGTCCAATTCCGTTAAAAATAATAATAATGAAAATAAAATAAGTGAAAGTGAATGATTGTTTCAAAACTTCACTGATGCATCTTACATAATGAACATTCTAGTCTCTAAAGCTAACACTAAAGTAACTTGTTCACTAGCTGAGTGAGGTTGGGTAGCAGGTTGACTCTGTGTGGGCCAGTATGGAATACTTTTTGGCAAGAGCCAAAGGCTGCTATGGCAACAGAGGCTTACTTATTCCACTGAGCGGCTGGGGGACTTTGCGGGCACTGCATGATTTCAACTCATTGCAACATAGTGTGTTACCAATGGTTTGCTTGGCGACTGTTGTCCCAACTGCCTTAAGATCATTAACAAGGTCCTCGTGTAGTTTGGGGCTGATCCCTCACCTTTATCATGACCATCCTTTCCTCATAAGGCGAGATCTTGCATGGAGCACCAGACAGAGGGCGATTGATGGTTATTTTGTATTTCTTCCATTTCCGAATATTCACACCAACAGTTGTCTCCTTCTCAAAAAGGTTCTTGCTGATGGTCTTGTAGCCCATTCCAGCCTTGTGCAGATCTACAATCTTGTCTCTGACATCCTTTGACAGCTCTTTGGTCTTGCCCATGGTGGTGGGAGAGGTTTGAATGGAAGATACACATTCTATGGACTGTTTTCTTTTATACTCATAACAAGATGACATTAGGAGTAATTTCTTAAAGTGACAGGACTAATCTGTGTTCCACTTGGGCACGTAACCAATCTGTGTGAGCCAGAATTCTTGCTGGTTGGTAGGGGATCAAATACTTATTTTACTTACTGAAATGCAAGTCAATTTATAACCTTTATATAACGTGTTTTTCTGGATTTTTTTGTTGATATTCTGTCTCTATCCGTTAAAGTAAACCTACCATAAAAATTATAGACCCTTAATTTTTTTGTAAGTGGTCAAACTTACAAAATCAGCAGGGGATCAAATAATTATTTTCCCCACTGCAAGTATAAAAAACTATATTAATAAAGTGCTATATTAAAACTTTCCTCTCAAGGGACCATTTGGTTCCTTGGCAAATAGCCCCCTGAATGTTGTAGATTCATGAGTAACTTTATTCAGATTTAATCCCGAGACATGTCTTTAATAACAGTTTATCATATTATTTTAATAAGTCTGCTTATGGGTCAATAATAAATAAAAATGATAAAAAAGGAGAAATCTTTAAAAATACATAATCTATTGGTGTAAACACAAAATACTTGCACCTTAAATACATGAGTGTACACAACTTTAGTAATTTTCATTTTTTTCTTTCAAAAATCAACTTTTTGACAATGTTTTATAAACATGTTTTTTTAAAGGTTACTCTATTACTCTACCTGAACGAAATGGGCCTTTTTCATCAAATTTTTTAATGTGGGATATTTCAAATAAATATATTTAGTCACATAACATCCAAATTGATTTCTGAATTGGTACACTACTTTTGATTTGGTTCACAAAGGTATTTCAAATATTAATATTTAAAATAAAATTGCTTCACTGTTTTATAAGAAATAATAAGAGATTGAAGACTTTTAAAAAAAAAATTTAAATTTCAGCACCTTGAACATTCTTATGTAGTTTCAAGTTTGTTTTATATTGCACATTTAAAAACAGCAAGCACGGCTGACCAAAGTGCTGAACAAAACATAGAACAAAGATGACCATTCCAATGGTGAATATGTGTGGGGTAAATGGAAAACTACAGGGTGTAAGCTGCAGTCCTGTCCATCTGAGCTCTGAATTAACTGCTGCCTCATTTACTGGAGTCTCGGCATGAGCAGAGCAAGTCCAGACTGGTGAGAAAGAAGCCTTCAAGTATGCACTGGGAAGGAGCTGCTATTATCTCTGTTTTGTAATGCAGGCTGAGGTTTTTTAAATAGTTGCCTGAGCAAGATATTTTCAGGAGCTGTAACAGTATTACAGCACTATATTTAAATACAGTGGATATATATCTTTTTATTTACAACATGGCACAGTATAGTACTTTTATTTAAAAATGAGCCGCAGTCATATTGGAGACTTGAAAGCTAGAAAATGTATGCCCAGAATAATATCATTCACGAATAGTAATTCGCTAATAATTCATCAATAATAATAATAATTAGTAGTCAATAACATCGTAGTTCATAACATTAGTAGGTCTAGAGAGAGAGTACATATAAATCGTGTCTCTTGTTATTTGTTCAATAACGTAGCATCTGTCAAAAGTCATCAAACACAATCTTCATTATTAAAAAAATCCCCAAATCTGCATCTTACTCACGCCTCGTGACTGAGCACAAACTTCAATCTCTCTTTGAAGAAGGTTAATATTTTACTGTAATGTAAATGTCACATGGCACTAAAACATAGTCATAACCAAACACATGAGTCTATTTAAAAGCTACAGAGAAGAAGAGTCACTTACCTCTGTTGATCAGTCACTGTTATTCAAAAAGAACAAACTACACCACCCAAATGATCAGATCCAAACAAATGCTCTGAATTGCTTTTGGAAATGTGGAAAGTTTAGGAAATATATAAGTGAATGCTGCTTGTTATTTCCCTTTCCACACGCTTGAAAAGATGCCTAGAGGCGTCTGTATGAAACTGATTCACACTATCCATGTTTCGTCTTCCCACACATGTGTTTTCCAGGGGAGAGATCTCATAAGTTGTTGCATACCTGGTTATGCGCATGCGTTGTTGTGACAAACAATATACACGAATATAACGAGGAAAAAAATATTATATATATATATATATATATATATATATATATATATATATATATATATATATATATTTTTTTTTTTTTATATTTTTTTTTTAATCTAATTTTGTGTACGCGTGTGATTTCACATTATTTTCATATTCTATCAAATCTGACGAAAATATTTTCAAATATTATGTTTAATGACTTTCCAGCTCAAACCTGAATCTTCAACTCTATTACTTATTATGTCTCTCTGGGTGTATCCCGCTAGGTATTTCTTCCCTATGAAATTGTGAACTTTCCTTATGAAGTATAAGCCTACTTTATAACAATGACAGCGTCCGGATCCTTCCATCTAGTATTTGTACTCACACGGACTACACCAAAAGAACACCACCAAAGAGTCAGGAAACGGATATGAAGTCTCTTCACCGCGTTAGGTAAGAGGGTAGACAAAACACTTTTGTCCGTTTGATACCTTAGTGCTTCGAATTAGTTCATTAGCATTTGCCCGTAATTTGTTTTACCCATTGACAAAATTGTTTTAACAGTGAGTGAGATAAGCGATCTTTTTTTTTTGTATTTCCTTGTTTATGGCTGCTAATAAGCTAGCGCGTGGCTAGCAAACTACGCCTGTGCTAATTAACGTATGCGATTTTAATGCGTTCGAGGCTTATATGAACACAAATAGTGCGTCTTGTGGGGCTGACAGGTGCGAACATTTCGAGGAAGATGTTCAAAGTCAGCTGGCTAACAGTATGCGTGTAAATCATCGCCAGTTGTCATTAGCTAAACTCCGTGAGCTCAGCGCTTTCTAGAAACGACGGCGCAGCGCAGCTTATCAGCGCGGCCCCGCAACTGACGGGCTAGCAATTGGTTTCTTAAACAACTATAATAACTATAATGGTCGGAGACTTACTTTTTTCTTTTTGCTTGTGTCTATCGCCCCATCTACACTACGAGTGGCGCGACGAATTGTATTATGGGGCTATTCACACAGAACGCGTTTTTGTGTTTAAGAAAGCATTTAATTTAAGCGTCGCGTTTTAAAACGCAGTGTCATACGCGAGAGCAGTGTTTAAACGTTTCTAACGCTTGTTTACATAAAAAATGGAAAAGCAGCTACGTGGCTGTTCTGTTTGAACAGCTCCTTTATATTCAACGAAACTGTCTGTAAAAGAGGCGCGCGTAATTCGAATTGCGGTGTGTCAGTGCTCCTTATTAAGCTCAACCAATTCAACATGTTTGATTAGCCCGCCTTGAATTTCAGACCAGTTTGGTTTTAGAACGAATTAGGTCTTACCGCCAAAAAGAAAGAAATAAGGCTTGTTCCCTATTTTTAGGTATTCTGGGGTGCAATGGAGGACAGCAACGCAGTGAAGCTCTTTGTTGGGAATCTGGATTTGGAAACCACACAAGATGACCTAATAGCACTTTTGGCCCCTTATGGAGAAGTGGTGCACATAACTGTACTGAGGCAGTTTGCCTTTGTCCATCTGCAGGGAGAAGGGGCTGCTGACCGTGCCATCCGTGATCTGAATGGCCGAGAGTACCGTGGCCGGAGCCTTGTAGTTGAGGAATCCAAAGCGAGGCCTCTCAATTCCACCAAAGTATTTGTGGGGAACTTGTGCGCTTCCTGTTCAGTTGAAGACCTGTATGATCTCTTTTCGGCTTACGGCAAAGTGCTCGATTGTGATAAAGTAAAGAGTGAGTATGTGTATAATGCACCTGCTTTGTATCAGTGCGTATTTCTTGCCGTTATATAATGTTATGACGTGTTCTCTTGCAGCAAAACCCTCCTCATTCACAGGCTACGCCTTTGTGCACATGGAGCGCAAAGAGGATGCAGAACAAGCCATTGAGGGTCTTCACGGGACCTCGTTTATGGGGCGTCCACTTGCAGTGGAGCTCTCAAAGGTACAGCCGACCGCAAACAAGGTCCCGTGTGCCAGCTGCGGTGCACATGGCCACTTTGCAGGAGAATGCCCGATCAACAGGCCTTCAATGGAGCACCACCAGAGTCAGGCTGCAGTCTTGGCTGCAGCTGCTGCCGCTGCTGCCGGACTTCCCCTTCAGGTGCAGCAGAGTGTGCACAACTCTTTCTATAACACTGCGAGCACTGACCCAACGTTTGCAGCTCTGAAAGACTTGACCACTTCCAGGTTTGATGGCAAACCTGTCAGCGCCGCAGTCTATGGTGCCCTGGCGAGTCAAGTTTACAGTTCTGTTGCAGACCAGGTGCTGAACACGTTGACGAGCCAAGCAGCGGATGGCTACCCCACGGAAGGAGAAGCACCGCCGGGCGCTGCCGCCGTTAACCCTGCCACTGTTAGCCCTGCCTATGGAGCAAATTCCTCTCTGTACGGTGCCAATCCAGCTTATGGGACCATGGGAGGCTCGGAACCTAACCCCCAAGCCATCTTTGAAGCCGCTAGGGCACGATTCTTTGAGCAGGGACAACAAGTGCTGGCCGAACAGCAGGCAGTGACCAAATCTGACCGAGACCGAAGTCCAATACGGCGTTCGGTCCCATTACTGCCTGATCCAGTTTCCC